CCAAGTGGATTCACTGCTACCACCTTGAGACAAACCATTCATGTAACGCCGAAGAAAAAGTATTTGACAGGCTTACAGGCCAGTCAGATCCTAGAGCAACCACACTACCGTTTCTGAGGAAGGAAATCATTGCACTTCACCAGTTTATACCCCTCTTTGTGGCAAGCCTGTAGCTTTTGCATTATAGAAGTGTAAAGTAGGGACCATGTATTAGCACCCACTCTGCAAAAGAGAGTCGATTAGGAAGGATTCTAGCAGTGTATCACCTTTTCACGTCCGTGTTCACAGAAGATTATAAAGAAGGTAAACTAACAAAAAAAAGCACATTACTAAAAAACAATCTTTTGTATTGTGTAGACAAAGAAGAAACAACTGATAATCCAGAAGAACAAAAAAAAGGTGAGGCTGTGTAATAAAGACTTTGTGAAACTTTAATAATTATAGGAAGAGCAAGTATGGATATCCATGGTTTCTTTGAACTCCTCTTTGCTCGGTTAGCTTTTACTACGGCCTTTTGGACGTGCTGTGGTTTCCTCCTGTGATGCTTTCCTTCCTGGCATTAGAGAGTAACTGAGGATGTAAGATTGCACTGCCTGAGCAAAGCCAGGCTTGTACGAGAAGAGCAGCCCACGGAAGAGCTTCCCATCGATGGAGGCTTCTAGCGTGTATCTGTAGTTGAATACGTCGCTTACTTTAGCCTCGAACATCTTCTCGCCTAGCGGCTGAACGTGAGCTTGAAACTCTGTAGCATGAGTTTGACAGAGAAAATTTGGAGAGGTCCAAGGTTTTCTGCAGATACCTCCGTGAGATGAAACCAAGCTCTTGTCCGCATCCCGTTGCTTGTCTAGCACGAATGGCATGGCACGATACTCTTGCCGCCTTCTCTTAAGTTCCTTACGCATGGGTAGCTTTGGTTCTGATGGATCTTTCTCCCTCAGCATCTTTTCACAGAAAAACGGCAACCATATTGTCAGCAGCAATGTCAATAAAAGAAGAAGCCAACCTGTGTCGAGGAAATACATGTCATCCAGAGCTTCAAGCTCTTCGTTACATCCCCCATAGAAGAATAATATGCCTCGCCCTGCGTTCACCAGCTCTTGGCATCAGCTCGGCACTAGTCGTCTTTACCTCCCGCCATGCCATTGTTTCTGGAAACACAAATGAATTCGCAAGTTTAAAACCAGCACAATGTATGTACCTGTGTCCAGAATATGAATGTCGTATAGATAGGCATTACCACCGTTCTTGCCACCCATGACAATGCAACAGTTCTTATTATGGATATCCCGAGGAATAGGCGAGACTCCAGTGGTAGAAATCTTCTTCCAGAAAAAAGTATCTACAGGAAAAAAAAGAGTTTAGAAGAAAACCAGGAAAGATAACAGGATATTACTCATGTTCAAAACATGGAGGTCGTTGTAGTACTCCTCCTCTGAGGGATCGCTGGATTTCCCACATCCCCCAAACACTAACAGGTTGTCACCGATGAGAGATGTGCTATGTCCTTCTCTCGGAGCAGGAACATCACCAAAAACGTCGGGTTTCCCCCAGGTGTTGGTAGCTGCATTGGATGATAAGAACAAGAAAAAAAATTTGATAGAACTCGCTTACCAGTATCCAAAACAAAGAGATCATCTAGCGGGCTGGTTCCATCGGTACCACCAAACACATAGAGCTTAGACCCGACGGCCGTGGAGCTGTGGCTGTCCCGAGGAGAAGGGTGCGTTCCTTTCATCACAGGCTTGCTCCAGATGTACGTCCCTGCACGATCCCAGCAAAACATGATCAAAACCATATTTCCAGTTGAATAGCGAAGAGCAAGAGAGTGAAAAACCTTGATTCTAGTCGTGGTTCCAGCCTCGAGAACCTGGAACAAACAGGGACTTGAGAGACTCGAAAAAAGAATGGCAACGAGCAAGAGAGTGAAGAACCTTGATTCTAGTCATCGATGACAACGTGAATACCCTCATTTTCCGAGACGTCATCCCTGTCGTGCGCTCCATCAGAGCCTCTTCGCCTTTCACTCCCAATCCTCGTCGCATTTCCGAGCAGAGCACGTCGATCTACCAAATGCACCTG